CACTGCTAAGAATATACCCCAAGGAAATTAGAACTGAGGTACAAATGGAGATTTATACACCCATGTTCATAGCAGCATTATTTACCATCACAAGAACATGGAAACAGCCCAAATGTCCAACCACAATCAAATGGATTGAGAAACTGTGGTACAGTCACATGATGGAATACTATGGTGCACTCAGGAACAATTTCAAAAGTTATTACATAACTTTGGAGGGAATGGAGAGCATTATGCTGAGTGAACTAAGTCTCATGAGGATAAGTACTGCATAAGATTACAATTGTAAAAATAGAAGGATAACTAGTAAAACATGTATGGGGGCTAGGGGAAGCAGTGGGAGCAGAGGGGTAAAGATGGATAGCAGCAAAATCACTGGGTTGCACAATCTGATGGGCGGAGGGAGGGGGTAAAGGAAATGGGAAAGATCTGGTGGGGAACTGAAAAGACAGAGTAATGGTGGGCATAGTCTAATGGTGATTATTTTTATAAAACACAATGTGCAATGTATGGGAATGACTATAAAACATAATGTCAACAAAGAAATGTGGGGGGAGGGTACTAGGGATCTGCATAAAAAAATAAATTTATTTTAAAAAAGACTTTGCTAACATCAGAAACCGTAGTCCTTTGGATAATAAGATTATTTACTTTGTGCTCTAAATTTATTCTACATTTTAAGGGAGCTTTTTAAAAAATACAAGATAGAAATAAAAAAGTATTAGATCAATTAAGAGGACAAAGATGTACTAAAATAATATACCTCCAGTTATATTTCCAGTTGGAAAAGGACAAATTATGTTTCAGTTTTACAACTGCTGAGAGTTACAGATTTTCACAGCACAATTCTCCATATCAAACAAGAAAGAATTACAGAAATCTCCAAAAACTTTTTGTCTAGCATACTATTTCAACAGTAATCTGTACGTATTTGGAATAAAAAGAAAAAGAACTGAATACACAGAACTACTTTTAAATTATTATACTAATTTATTATATAAATAACTATCACAAGTAAATCTCTGAATCATTTGTGTCCTTTATTCATCTAATTTCCTTTCTACAGGAACCTGTTGCTTACATATTTTTCTTGGGGTATCTATAGGACAAGTGTGCTTATGTGTTTAAATGTAAACTACTCTTTTGATACAAAAGTCTCACTAAATACATTGCTTTGTACCTTAATTTTTTCATATAACAATATATCTTGGATAGTATTCTATATCAAAAAGAGTGTTATTTTATCCTTAATAGTGACATAGTACTCCAGTATTTGGAGTAATAGTTTATAACTTATTATAACAGCACTTATTGGTATTTTACTAGTAGACATTGCAAAGCTGATGTGCAATGCTTAAAGCAAAATGTTGGAAAATTCAGGGGAAAAAAAGCACTTATACCTGGAATGTTCCAACATTTTGCTATTAAAAAAACCTAATAAATATCCCTATATATGTAATTTCAAAGTGTTAGCACTTAAGTCAGATAAATTTCTTGAAAGACTTGATAAATCAAAGACAACATGCACTTCAAACTTGTACAGTAATTGCAAAATTATTCACCACTTACACACTGTTGTTGTTGTT